TAATAGGGAATTGCAAAAAAATATCACCCACCAATCCAAACTTGAAAACTAAACTATTAATCTACTATAAAAACATACAAATTCAAACCTAATAATAAAATATACAAACAAAGCATCTAATGACACTTTGCAAAAGTCGCATGTCATATACCAATACAAACGCTAAATTGAAGGCTGTAACTTTCAAACATACATTTGGATGACCACTACGACTTTGTCGAGAAGACTTACATGTCATCTTAACCACGGGGGACTAGCAATGCGCACAGAGCAGACCCACAAAAAATAAAGAGAACATCGTTACAAGTACAAAGATTATAGACATCGCTAACAACACAAAGAGACTCCAGATCTTGGAAGCATTGTATAGCAAATAAAGTCAAACCACACAACAAAGACACCAATAAAAATTTTTTGTTAGCAACTATAAATACTATATAAGCAACACATTCCACATTTAATTCATATTAAACTTTAATTTAAAAAATTAATAAGAAATCTTGAAAGAATTATGAAAAAATTGAATAATGTTATCACAGCGATCGATTTCAATAAAATATGTTTACAAGAACTAAACCAAAATTTACTAATTTTTCTGAAGATGATTGAAGAAATAGGTCCTATACACTCGAAAATGAATTGGAAAGCTGTATCTTATTCTAACTTTAATAAAATAACTAAATCTTCATTTGAAGATGATTGTTGAATCGAATTAGGCCCAATACACTAGAGAATGAATTGGAAAACTGTATATTATTCCTACTTTAACAAAATTAATTATGACGACAAGAATTTGGTTAGAAATATTGAAAAATGTAATAACAAAATTTTCTTAGATAGAAGAAAACCTTCTTAGAAACTTATTTGATCACATTCCAACAATTTCACGTCAGCTAAATATAAAATCTGTAACGTTGGTGATTTTCTAATTTGATTTCTTTGTAACCAAATCGATAATATAATAGACGTCAATGGGAAAAGATGACAGAACGTCTTTCAATTACATATAAAAAAATGTCCAACGAGCTGCAGTGCATGAAAAGATGCAGTGAACGCAATCCAAGAACAATTTGATGAATTTCAACAGCTGTTAGAAGATCTGTATAAAAATGGTACTCACACAAGTAGCACACTCAAAATAGTGCATATAGTTTGTTTCAGTGACGGATCTAGATAACTTTGACGGGTGGTCCAAAATTTTGAAAATGTTTAAATGTTTAAATTTTTTTCAAATTTGGACAGAGGGCCAAGAATTGTGGTAGCGTGGCCAAAATTAGGCTGGCGACTTTTTTTAGATATAAAATAGCGTTTTTTATGCAAAAGCTGAGTTCTTTTAATAAATATACTGCTCACATCTGGGTGATGGTCTCTCCGGCCTTTACCCAAGATACGCCACTGAGTGTATATGTATAATACATATACATTCAGTGGCGGTATACATTTACATTCAGTGGCGGATCTTGCACATTCAGTACTGTATTTTAATAGCGCTCTGAAATTCTCCTGATTGTTATCAGATATGAAATCTAATGCACCGTCATCCCGGTGTCCACGCAAAGCAAAATTGTCTTCCACAAAGTTTAATAGTTTCAATAATAGTGTTAAGCAATTTTTTATTCTGCTCTATTTTTGTGGAAAGAACGGAGTTTGATAACTCTAAAACATTAGTTTTATTTTTAAACAAACTCAGAAACATTTCTTTATGAAAAGATGTCGCTTGATGACAGCGACATTGATCTAAAGCTGATTTATAACGATTTAAAAATGATATAACGAATACTCCGACTGAGCCACCTGATGGATGTCGATTTGCATAAAGTACACAAAACCTACAGAATGCTCCTTTTTTCAAATCTGAATAAGACAGCCAGGAAAATTCTTGAAACCAATGGAATTTAAAAAACCGTTTTTTTTTTACCTTTCAACACAAATAGAAATTTATAATTCTCGTCAGGTTTCCATGGATTTTTCAAAAAATCATATCTTTAATCATTCGAAATGCTTGAGATTTCTGCAGTTGCATATTGTCCAATATCTAAATGTATTGTTTCCTTTGAAAAACTCTAACATGAATTACCAGTTTTGTCTGAAACATCAGTCATGTCATCGTTTAAATTTAATGAGAGGCCTTCTTCCAAGACATCAGATTCTATAATTGTAAAATATAACGTTGAGATTAACTTTTTTAATTTTCCTACCAGACCTGAATAGTTGAATACTACAAAATTAATTCAAGTCTAGTCGGGTAATGACTGGTACGCATTAACCCTAACCCAAAAAATGTTTTTATTATTCAGCTTATTGCTAGTTTTTTTTAGTTGAAAAAACAAAATTATTTCATATGCAATTATTGAAATATCTAGGATTTACCATTAACGGCCTCAACTGTATTAAGATCATCGCACTGCTTTTGTTTTTTTGCCGGAGTCGGTTGAAAAAAGTTTAAAAAAGTACTTTTTTTAAAAGACGTTTTTTTTTAAATTTTAAAACAAATTCAAATGAAAACTGATTTTATGAAACACAAAAAAAAATATAAGACGCGCTAAATCGTAAATGGAATAAAATGTGAACTGCGAACAAAACATAAAATTATAAATATAATATTTTTGAATTACTTTTTGTTGATATTAGTTTTCATTAAAAGAAATATACTAAGAAAACCTGAATTATTTTTATTTTGTGCCGCAAAACACTATTTAAGTTTAAAATATGAATTATATTCTAAAATAAACTTGTATCATATTTATATAATAAATCAGCGTTATTTTTTATTGTTAAAAAGAGTCGATCTCAAATTCTTTTTATTATTTAACGCTGTCTTGAATTGAACTGATGATAACGGGGGGGGGCATTGCCCCGCCATAAATCCGCCACTGGTTTGTTAATAAACATAATGAATTTTAATTTAGAAAAACTGCAACAGCGGCAAAGTAGCATTCGAGAAGACGTTTGCATTAACTGCAGTCAATTCAGTCAAAAACATATGCCGGGTGAGAATGCTCAGAACGCAAGCTTAGTGCGGTTGACAAAATAACTCGCCTTATGAAATAAATAGTGACAGGCTAATCCATGATACGATTTCGTCGTCTGAAAACACTAGACAAAAAGTTTGAATTTTTTTTCGATATCAGCAAGTTGTTTGATACTGACAACTCAAAACATATTCAACAGCAATGTACCGCATGAAACTAATGTTGCAGTATGTTATGCAAAAACTCGATCAGAAATTGTCCTAGGAAGCCCGCTTGAATTACTGTCATTTATTATTTCATATTGTAATGACATATTTTCAAACCTGCAAATTGAAATCTTCATTGACTAAAAACGACCGAAAATTTACAAGCAGCAAAGAAAAGCGACATCATTTCTGACCAGAATATTATTGAAAGATTTTACAAACAAAGGGGAGGAATCGACAAAAGATATAATAAACGGACAAGACAAAGATATAATGAACGGACAGGACAAAGCGGAATAAAAGCACTTTGAACAGGACAAAGCAGAAAAAAGCCACTTTGCACACACAGAAAATTGAAAAACTTTGAGACATCCCTATATTAGCGCTCTTGATGGAAAAAATCGAAATAGGACCTATACGCTTCATCATGAACATCAATGATTTTTTTAGTAATTTTAATAAATTGAACAATAATAATAAAATAAATGTTAGAAGTATTGAAAAGCTTTACAGTAATCTTTTAAAGACTAAAAATTCGGTAGATTCTATCAAATCAATCCAATCTGAAAATTCGGTAGATTCTATCTAATGAAACCTAACTCGAGCTCTCACCCTCGTTGTTTTTTTATCCCAAGAAGCAATAGCTGCTAAAAGAAATTGTCGTCGTATGGAGCGTCACTAAAAATATGAAAAATCAACGCTCAACATCGTCAACTACAAAAATGCTAAACGTGTTGCTCGTGATGCCATTATGAGGGGTAGGATCGAATCTATTAAGAACACTCTCAACAACAACAGCAACCCTCGTGATCTCTGGCAATCTCTTAACAACAATATTCAGATCATCAATCTTCTCTTCTATTCTTAAATTTTCTTGTATCTTCTTTTGCTAACTTTTTTAAGGACAAAATAAATTCTATTCATCAATCTATTGCTACAACAATTGCTTCTTTTAACAATCCTTCTTCAAACCTTCTTCCTCTCTCTTTTTTTCTTTTTCAGCTGTCACCTCAGAAGCTGAGGTATTTTCTGAATGCCAGAGACAAATTTCGTATATCTGCTTTCTACATCATTGTTGACAAACGTGAGACAGAGATGAGTAGATGAGGAAATGTGTATAATGATATAAGTAGATTAATTTACTAGTTTGGTCAATGTACAGCAAACATCACAAGGTTGTGAAAGTTTAATCATAAAGATCTGAACAATAATTTACACACTGAACTACAACAACTCCTTTCATATATTCGCCACAAATTTCGTGCATCAAAATCGGATCGCATTAAATCATGCAGAAATTTACAAAGTAATTATTAAAGACAAAATCGTGTGTGCTTTTCCAAATGTAGCGCATATTTTAACATTAATGATTACAAACTGTTCAACTGAGCGCTCTTTTTCTCAGTTAAAACGTGTAAAAAATTCATGCAGATCAACTATGAAACAAGAGAGGCTGGATTCTTTATCTCTGTTGATAATTGAGGCAGATTTGTTGCGCGAAATAAACTTTGATGTTGTTGTCAAAAACTTTGCCACACTTAAATCTAAAAAGAAAGAACTTCAAAATGTAAATGTGTGTTGCTTTTTTGTTTTTTTTATGTCTCAATGTTTTTTATGTATAACAGTCTCAATTGTTACTAAATAAAAGAATATTAATTTTATTAATCGATCATTTTTTATATGATTGACGGTAGAATAAATACGTGTATAAACAATTGTTTTTTTTTTCCTGTTAGTTTTTTGCATAATATTAAACATACCGACTGTGAGTGGGAGATCATGAGTTTTTGGGGAAAGGGGCACCTTAATATACTCAGTTGCGTCAACCTGTCAGCAATTCATCAGTTGTCAACAAATATTTTACATACAGCTCTCCTTCCATATGGAATGGTTTGCCTGCCATTATTCGTCAACAACCAACCATCAAACTTTTTAGGAAACGATTCAAGAACTTTTTGTTTATCCAGGCCTACGGAAACATCAAAAGTCATTTTATCCAAGCGCCCCTGAAACTATGCATAAGACGCGATATAAATCAATAATAATAATAAATAATATGTATATATACATTTTTTGGGGACGAGGTTTTCTTGGATGCAAATATCGTAAAAATAGTTGCCTTATTATTTTAAAAAAACTTAAACACGTCTAAATTGGCTGGAGTACTTGTTGAAATTTTTTGTTGTTTG